AACTTTTCCAGGAGTTCCAGTGGAAACCAATCCTAACAAATATTGCCACGTTTTCATTGCTGTCCTGCAGGTACTCAGAGAGGACCACCAGCAGACCATCGGAAGCCTTTTCCAATGGTGAAGGAACCAGCTCCAGCCCCTCGGAGGAGATTGGTGGGGTCCGCAAACCCTCAGCCAACAGGGGCAAGAGACGCCGACGTAACCCTGAGAAAGATGAGTCTCAGTATGAGACAGAGTACACAACAGGGGGAGAAACAGGCAATGAACTCGACGACGAAGAATGGGAAAGGTGAGAAACGAGTTTCATGGCAGTATCTGTGAGCCTGTTTACACTTGATTTTTACATTTTGGGAAGTTGGTTCACCAGTGGAGAATGCTAAAAACAAGCGGAAAGAAAGTGAAAGCGCATTGTTTTCTGAAGACTTAAACCACCCAATGAACACATATTAAATGTCTTAAACAGCGTAAGTTCTCATGTATGCATGCATCACAAAGGAGAACATGATCAGATAATATAACATCAATACAGGACTTTCCCTAAAAAATTACTGCTTTGCTAACTCTGTCTTCCTTTATCGCTTAAACCTGCCACCGTCATTAATTCAAATAGTAAGTACACATAAAATAAAACTCTAAAACTATGGAACTAGTCTGTCCCTAACATGTAATACTTGTGTGGGGATGAAGGTAATAACTGGTTACTTGACCTTTTGACCAAGAAGTGACATAAGCAGTAAGAACAGTGATTAACACAGAGACCTATCATCAGTCCACCAGATGAGCTAGAGCAAGCACTGTGTCAAGGGAAAACTTCTTTTTCAAAGGAACCTGACTAATTCCTGAACAATCATCTGCCTCGGCTGGATGGGCCGAGAGAGGGGGAGAGAGAAAGAGAGGGATGTAGAGAGGAAGCTGCAAGAGGAGGTTATCACACCTGTCCTCTCGTGTTAAGTTCACTGAAATACATTTATACCAAGTGTACAAAGGCTCTCTGCTCATTTGCTATCTGGATTAAATATTAGAATGTCTTTATCTCAGAACACAGACTGTAGATTGCCGTTTAATACTTTCGCTCTCTCCGGACCAGACCTCAATACTTGGATTTAAATGAACAACTTTAAGCTGAACGATTCAAACTCACATGAGAATTCAGTTTTTCAGAAGCGCGAATATAGCTGGGGAGTACAAAGATAGTAAACTGGTTTCTTTACAGTAGAGTTTTGTGAAAAGGCCCTGCAGTCTGGTCGTGTTTCTCTCTGTCCAGGAGAGAAGTTAATCCTGTGAGGCATGCCTGTTCACATGGGCTGAACTCAGGCATATTAAGAGAATTGGGCCAAAGGTACAAAACATGGAAGTCAACGTAGTTTATGAGAAAGTAGTATTATTGTGTGGTTTAATCTACTCAGACTCTAACCAATATCCCCGAGGGAGACATTTAAAGCCTAACACAACATTATTGAAAGCAACCCTCAGTATACCTTTAGAGTAGTAGTCTTTCTAGTAAGTGATGCAGGTTTGTCTCTGATGCTAAACTTCCCCCTTCTCCTTCCCCTCCTCTAGAGCGTACCCAGAGATAAGATCTGATTCTGTGCGTCATGAGTATAAGAGAGAGTTTGACACAGATCTGAAGGAATACAAGCGTCTGTGTGCAGAGATGGACGACATAAATGATCAGATGAACAAACTAAGCCGGCAGCTGGACACACTGGATGAAACCTCTGTAAAATACCAGGTCAGATATAAACACAACTCACTTCTTGAATGGCATCACTGAACACACTTGAAAATATTCTCTGTCTCCGGTATTCAAATTACAGGAGGGAAACGAATATGAATGAAAAGAAGTATGTTTAAAAACCAAACGACCTTCTTGGATATCAAATGTTGAGTAACACGTTACAGTGATGTGATGTAATTTAATGCATTACTACTAAGACTAAGTAATGGAAAACAATGTGTGGCAGTTTATCTTTACTTAATGGTTTCTAGTGTCTAGTTTCTTTTGAACTTATTCTCCACTAATTGTTTTGGAATGTCTCATTTTCTTCTTCTGCTACCAACAGCAGCTCTTAAAGGGAGTGAATAGATGAACGTTATACACGACAAAAGAGTCTAATAGAAACCCAAGACCTACATGAAATCGACTGTGATGTGCTCTCCTTGTGCACAAACTCTGCATTATGTTTTTATTGGATGACACGTCATCATAACAACTACTTTTCTCTCTTCTTTTTTACAGGCCGTAGCAGAGGAATATAATCAGTTAAAGGATCTTAAACAGGTGAGGAGAGATCTCTGATATCACATTTTCAAAACCCAATGAAGACTTGCAGTTGTTTGTAAAGTAACATAAAGCATAAAAATCCACAGAACTGAATCTTGAATACATTATAACAGATTTATTTTCAAAATATTCTTGTGCAGTCACATACTACTTTAAAACGCATCCGTATTCCTGAGTTTGAATACGGTGCGTGTGTTTGTGCACGCACTGTTATGTAGTATTAAATGAGTCACTCTTGCTGTCTGTTCTCTGCAGACATCCGACTACCGAGCGAAGAAGAAAGAGTGTCGCAGGCTGAGACACAAACTGTTCCACATCAAACGCATGGTGAAGGACTACGACAAGAACCACTCGTGAATCCACCGAGTCCTGACACTCGGCTCTGCGCTCTACTCAGCAGACACTCACAGCCAAGATACACTCCGACACACGACAAAGACTGTGACATGACCAAAGTTACCTGTACAGAAACCAACTCACACACACACACACACACACACACACACACACACACATAGGGAACATCCTGTATGTTAATAATAACGGTCTTCTGTGTTTTCCTTCATTCACTCATCACTTACATATAAACAATGTAATTGTTTTTTAGAGAGATCATGGTAACAGGACTCTCAATGAGCACTGCCATTTCCTGTTAGATTCAGCTCTTTGTTTTTTCAGGGTTGAGCCTCTTGTCTGGATCAGAGAGCGTGGCTGGTGAGAGGTTGTTTGAAAGTCACCTGACCTTCATTCACCTGTGATAACACTGTGCTTGGTTTCTGTAGCTCTGTTTGCTCTTCAGATTGGAAACATTTCTTAGTTTGATCTCCACAGATAAGAAGCAGAGCAGTATGGTAGAGGATGTAGTAATGGGACAGACAGGTTGCTGGGGCTGATCGTGAGTCAAATATGCAGTGTCTTTAACCCTTGGCATGGCATTATCTCCATCACAAATGATCTTAAGTTGTGCTTTTCTTTATGTTTGTGTTAGTGTTTGTAACTAACCTCAACATCACTTAAGGTATCTGCCTGGACTTTGTGTACGTCTCCCATGTTCTGGCTTTCAGACAAAGATTTTGACACTGATTATGATCCATGCAGTGAGACCAAAAAGTGGACAAACCGGCCAATGAGATGTGTGGTGTTCTTGTTTTATATATACTTTTAATGAGTCTGGTTCTCATACACTTCAAGAACAGATGTACAATTACATTTAGAAGGTTTTACAACATTTGTGATGACCACAGTTATTTGTACATACTGAAGACCCACAGTGGCTTGTTTTTTTTTTAATCATTCAAAATGTACTTAAGCTATGCAATTTAATAAAACCCTGTGGACTATTTTTGTTTTTCTACCATGCATGCTTCTCAAAAAAATGGTAAACACTGTTTCTTTCACTATGTATAAGCTACACTCATCTTATTATTTTGACCACTGAAAACGATCATCTGCTGATTCCATGTGTTCTATTTTTGTGTATTAATCCACTTAATGTGCAAAGTGTTACGATCTTGTGTACGTCTAAAAATGATTCAGACACAGTTTTGATTTGTCATGCTTTTGTATTTTTATGAAGAACATTGTTGTCATTCTACAAACTGTTTGCGAGCCATTTATTTTTGTATGAATTTATTTTCTTTGATGCTATTAGAAGACCATTTTTGTAACTGTATACTTCCATCAGGCATGACGTTTAAAAAGTATTCAATTGTGTAAGCAATAAACATTTCTAATTCTCTAAAATATAATCAAGCCCTTTTCCTTTCTTTTTCCGTTTATTTTGCTCCCTCTTTGTCTGACGAGATCTGCTGCTCTCTGCACCTGCACTGACTGTCCAGCAGAGGGCGCAGGACGACTTCTCTGCTGATCTGACAGAGAACTCAGCTTGAACTGTTGCTGCCCTCTTCTGGTAAAATACTTTTTAAACCTTTCATTAAAGATGTCACTGTGCTACTGTTAGCGCTGTAAGTATAACCAAGTTGACTCTTTACACAGAAAAACTTTCCAAAGGATTATATAAATTAAACTATCTGAAGAAAATGCAGAATTGCTGAATTTGTTGTCATATGTCATGGCTCTTACCTTCTTTTGAATGAATGAATGAATGAATGAATCACCATTTCACCACCATCTGCATGTTAGTGGTTTAAACTTGCTGTGTATAGTGACTGTGCTTTTGTTGGGCGTAGCATTGTGGGGCATGTTAATAAAAGATCACATTTCTCTGTTTGATAAAACACAAATAAACACTGGTGTTTGAGCATATTTTACATATGAAAGCATGAGCCAGTAAATATTTTTTCCCTTGAGTACAAAGTAAAGATAAAGTAAAAAAAATAATTATTATAACATTTTTCTGTAGAACTATCTGTTGATAAAGTACTACAATCAAGGATTTCGATGTTTATACAGTATATCAAAGTATATCTTATCTTATGTCTTAAAAGTCTCAGATACTCTGTTGATCCACATTGAAATGTCCTCGGGATGCACAAATAACCAGTCAGCCGCATATGAACTTCTTTTTGCATTTTGGCATGATCATAGGCACATGCTTCTTTTCAAAACAGCAACAAAATCAAATCAAGATTCCAACAAACAACACAAATTTAACTCAAGCATGAAGAGCCTCATGCCTTATGACATACGAACAGATTATAACCCCCAGCCTCACCCCCAAAAAACAAAACAAATGACACATTTTGATCCACCTAAGTATGTTTTTTTCAGTCATTTAATTTGGCAAGAGAAAACATTTGTCACAATGAGCTGCAGTTAGTGGCAGAAACACTCATGAATGTGACGACTTAGTACCTTTATCTTAGTACCAACAAAAATCCATAACCTTTCAACGCATACAACACATGGAGAACTTTGCATAAGAATAATTATCTGAACATGACCTCTGTCCACGTGGTGGTGCTTTTGCAAGATGCTTTAAAAAAGGAAACCAAATATGTGAAAGAAAAAAATCCAAATGATCTACCACTACCTTTATAAAAGCAAACAAACCGTTTGAGATTTAACAAAAGCGCAAAAGTCACCAGACTGCAGCTTCCTGTTAATGATGTCAAACTTTGGGTCTCCGCTTATATCAAGTTTGACATTTCAAAACATTTTTAAAATACATTTTGGACAAAGTGTGGTGGAGGTCTATAAGGGGACTATAACTGCTAATGGTTTCTGTGGTAAAGACACCTTGATCCCTTTATATTCATCTTTAGCACATGGATTTACAATCTCCGTCTTTGATGTATAAAATATGAGGTAATAATGTTCGACAGGGATGTGACTATCTGAGAGCCAGGTTGTGTTTGAGCACATTCCCCTCCACTTAATGTACATTACATCTGCAAGCACAACATTGTACAATATACTATATTTTAGGAATAGCTAACCATTTAGGAATTACTGTATGCACAGCAACTAGTTAGCTTAACTTGGTATAAAGGCTGGATACAGACTGGAATAATTATCAACGCTCTGTCTAATGGTAACAAACCAGAGCTACAGCACCTTTATTTATGAGTTAGGTTTAGAGGTGTTGGCTGGAGGTTTTTTTTTTGTATTGCCTTAAGATAGTTTCAGACTAGCTGTACCATCCTTTTTTCCAGTCCTTATGCTAAACTAGGCTAATTTAAGCTAGCTGTAGCTTCATATTGGCAGCAATGACATGAAAGTGAAATCAACCTCATGTTAACATACAAGAAAGCAATAATGATATTTCCCATAATGTTGAACTATTCCTTATAACATACAAAATGTCTAATATACACAATACTTCAAACAGTACAATATACAATACAATGCCATTGCCTTGTCTTTGTTTTTATGTCGTACAACGTGATTCTTTGCAGTCTTTGACAAATACATTTGGTGACAGTCTGATATTTATCGAACATGACATAACTGACTGTGACGATGTAAAAACTCCAAAGCTGCCACTGAAGTCCTGCCTTTGAAAGTGGCAATTCTATGGCTTCTCTTTGATTCAAAAGAAAGAAAAATAAATCAGGGGGAACACACAGAGCCTGGTTCAAACTGAGTCACATGAGGGGTGATATGGGAGGAGGTAGTACAGGCACATGGCCTCATTTTAGAGTCTGAACTTCACTTAAAGCTCTGTTATTGTTGGTTTTTTTTCTCCAAAGTGAGACTGAGAGAGATCAGACAGCGGCCAGTGCTAAACTCACAAGTGCTGCAAACATAAATATAAAGACAATTACACGTTTAGTTCTCCCAAGGCAGCTTTAGTTTGCCTTAGACCAAACTTTAAACAGAAAATGTGGGAAAAGTTGACCTTTATGCTCACAAACAGTACCATAAACTTCTGAGATACCAGTTTGTATCCATAACATTCAGTTTGTGCTTGTATGTAGCTCTGTTTCCTCCCAATCTGATCTCGGTGAGTCTCACTGTGGACTCAGCAAGGTTTACTGTCCTGGTACGTAGGGCCAGCTGATGGAGCTCCCTGATAGCTGCATGTCTCGGATCAGCGTCTCGATAGGTGTCTTGCCCACCAGTCTCATGAAGAAGAGCTGGGAGATGAGGTTTGCTGGCACAGCTCGTAGAGCCGGTAGGCGCAGCAAGAGGCGGCCAAAGCGCTGAGGCTGATTTGGGTACTGTAACCTCTCGTACTCTGTCAGGGCGACCTGGGCCTTCTCCTGCAGGGACTCTACATGGGCCGGGTCAGTCAGCCCGCATGCATCTGTAAGACAACGACACATAGAATTACAGAACTGTCTTTTAATTAGGGCTTTCAAACAATCATAAACAAAGTCATTGCTGAATTTCATTGGGATTAATGTGTTAACTCTGATAACCATAGTTTTAATTTTTGTTTCTTTTATTTTACTTGTGTGTTATAGGAACATTTTTAGTTAATGCTTCATAACTTGTTTGATTTGTTAAAGGAATTGTATAAACTTTGGAGAAACAATGGTTAAAGAGATCAATTGCACTCTTATAACGGTAGGATACATATAAAGCTGTAGCCAGTAGCTAGCTTGTTTAGCTTAGTTTATCACAAAAATTGAAAAACAAGGGGAAACAACTAGCGTGGCTAACTCATAGCATCTCCTGACTAGTCACTGCACATGACAAAGAACAATCCAGGCACAAAATCCCCCATGAAACTACATATTGTTGGTCTTACACCTGTTCTTTTGGACAAGCCATTCGACTGACAAGATAAAATGTGTGAAAAAATGAAATTGTGCAGAGTCAGGCTAGCTGTTTCCTGCTGTTTTGTGAAGCCAAACTCACCTGGTGAAAACAGTGCAATGGCTTTGAGGCAGCTGTACTCAGCTGAGTCCACCTGGAGCCGGTTCAGCTTGTCCACCTGGTCCTGGAAAACCCGGACCTGGTCCATGAAGGACACGACACGCTCAGCTGACATGGGGGACGAGTGAAACCCGGCAGCTGCCAGCAGAGGAGCCATGTGTAGAGGCAAGGCAGACTGAGCTGCATTCAGGATGAAGAGCTCGCTCCAGCTCAGCCTCAACAGCGCCACCTATAGGGTCGATTGTAGATTTAAAACATGTCACTTAAGAGCAGTAAAGGATAAGATATCAAAAACAAACTTTTTAATGTAATACTTAAACATTAATAATGACTAAGGTAAGCCATGAAAGCTGGCAGTGTGCCAGCCAGGACAACATCAGGATTATAAGATGATCAAAGAGAAAAGGCAGAATATGAAATATTTTTGTAAACAAAATTGTGTTTTTTTCTTGGAAACAATAGATACAGTTGATACTTTAGTCCAACAAAGACTCTTCAAATGAAACAATTGGACACAAAGTGAAAATGACACTTTGGCAGATCTGTTTGCAACTCGAGTCCACATCGAGGCCATAACCTCTGGCCGCTGACCATAGAAATATCTTCAAACCCTTTAAAAGTTAATCATGTGGTCAATGGTTTTTATTTTATTGTAAGCTGCGGTACAAACAACAACTTAGAATTTTAGAGCTTCTTTTGTTTTTTAAAGAACTCGAGGTGTTTGTTTTAGATGAAAGATAAATTTAGGGACATGTGAAAAATACCTTATTAGTAGTATCATTTCCTATTATTCTTTTAAAACAATACTTGGTTGAGATTTTGTTCAGGTTAGTGAAACAATCACTAGGTGCTGTTTTCCCTGACTGACCTGCTCTGAGACTGGAAGCTCTGGGAAGTATGGGATGTTTCTGGCCCACTCGATGGTGCTGAAGAGGAGCCGGGCGGCCAGCTCACAGATACTGTCGATGCCCATGACGGAGGCTCCGCTCGCAGACGCCTGCATTTGTGCCTGACTGTAAGGGGTCCCGTAGCGGCTGTTAGGGTACGGCTCAGCCCGGAGGAGCTGGGAGATGAGTTCTGACACTGGCTGTCCGTTGAAGAAGTCCGCACCAATGTGACCTGGTACTGGTCCACCAACTCCTCCTGCCATGGAGTTTGGACTGATACCTGTGTGAGCTGGAGGGATGCGCCCTCGCTGGACTGCTGCAGGAAGAGAGGGAAGACAGAGAGCACAGTGAGAATCAGATTTAGTGCCTGTCAAAAGTTAAATGATTTGTATTCTCTTACACATGTAAAAATAAAATTTGCTGTAGACTACTTGAGTGATAGTTTGTAAACTTTGTATGGCGTAAAATGTGCACTGATAAAGTTAAGAATGTTATTTTAGTTATTACAGAAAACACCTCAAGAATCTCCATGCTCTCTAGTTTCATAACCTCCCTCCCCCTCTTATAATTTCCCATAACAGGCCTTAATATCCCATGAGCTTCTGTGGTTCATATCCTTGACGGCTAGATCTAACAAGTTACCTTTAAAGGACTTGTATCCCTTTAAAAAAAGATTCCCCATTGTCCAGCTATTTATTCAGCTAGCCTACTCCTACTCCAGTACCAAAAGGCATGTGTATCGACATATCAAACAACTAGTCTTATTGCAAGCTGAACTGGATGAAGAAACATAATCAAAAATAAATAAATTACATCTAGTGTAATGTTCATCCTTTATGGAGGTCTTTGGTGTTCAAGCAACAAATTATGGTTCTCTTTTTCTTGTTTTGATTCAAACTCTCTGCAAATTAGTTATGATTTGTAGGTATTTGCAAATGGATTTATCCTACATTCCTAAAGTAGCAAGTAGGCCTATAGAAGTGTTTTCTTTTTTTTCATATTTCAAAAACTTAGAGAACATTTTATCGCTGTTGTTTGAACACTGCTCTGTTTTTTTTGGTTTGCCATGATGTTCACGTTGGGTTTAGATCGTTGAATTGTATGCAGTACGACCATAGCCTTACAATATAATCACAAGTCACAGAGGTCGCATATTATGGCTTAACTCCATTTTAGTCTTAAAAGATTAGACTATAATCTAATGGAATTATGTAGGCCTAGGTAAAAACACAAATGTCCTCTCTGAACCTAACACCTAACTAGTTGTTCTAAATAGCAGTAAATATACTTTTGTTGCAGTTTCACTGTAAGTAATAGAAAAAGATGTTATATTACACAATAAACCATAGACTGTAAATATCACGATTTAAACGCTAGCCTATATCAACTTGTTCAACACAAACCCAGAAATAGGCCTAAGTCCTTTCACCAAGGAGGAGATGCTCCTGTCCCCATGGTAACCGAATTTCCCCAATGACTTAGAATCTTCATACTAAACATAGGCTGTGTCCGAAATCACTCACTCACTCCCTACTCCCTATTCACTATATCGTGCACTATATAGTGGATAGGGAGTGATTTCGGACACAGCCATAATCTATTTTAAAATGATTTACTTCGGTACACCATTATTAATAGCTACCAAGCCGAACAAAACACAGTAACCCGGAATAAAGCGGAACCTTCCCCGAAAATGAGTGGCATGGGAGTTGTGATAAAACAACACCCTTTTTAGACATAGCAGCCGCTAGTAGCCACAAGTTCGCAGCAAAAGTTGGTTATACACTTAATGTTAGTTTGGTGTTGTAATTGCTCATTTACCTTGGTTAATTAAGCCACCTTAAAAGTCATTATTTGTTGTATAAACTGCGAGTTTGGTCATCGTGTGTTCTTTGTGTTCAGTGTGCCCTCAGTCTTACCTTACAGGTATGTTATTGTGTTAAATTGATATCTGTCTAATGTGCACCTTTGCACAAGAACTCCAATGTAGCCTCAGCCTAAATAAAAAATAAAAGATTTGAGCTACAATAAGTTCTATAATTCTGTGGTGGGGGACGGGGATAAAGCTTGCACATTTGTATTGACTTTGCCCTTCAACACGCAGATCCTGATTCCTACCTGAATGGTATTCTTCAGACTATGAGTAAACTCTCCAGCTGCTACACTTTCCAGACTGCGTTAAAGGTGAAAAGACATTTCCAGGTAATGTGGAAACAGCACAAACTGCGTCACGGCCGCTGCCAGCATGGTTCATTAATAACCAGGCCCAATATAACCCCTGGCATACCGTCACCTCAGTGCACATTATGTATGGGACTGCTCATGGTATCCACTGACACAGACCGAAATACCATAAGTCCTACAGTGAGCTTAGGGTTTACAAGAATACAATTACAAATGGGTTTAAAGTGTTTTTTGATTAGAGGATGGAAGGATGTGAAATTAAATCACACCTGGGGAAAGGGGAATTCTACCTAACAGAAATTAGGTAAACCGTAGGTCTACCTGTTTTTAAAATGATATAGGAGATATAATAGGGCTATGTAAGAGATGCACACAGAGCCTTCTGGGTTTAGACAGAACAGATATAGCAGACTGAACTTGTATTTGTTTTTTCTGTTATGCAAATCAAACATGGTTGCCTCTAGTTCCCTTTGGTCCCTGAAGCTCGGCAGCTGCTGGGCGTCAAACACTGGGCTGAAAACATGTTTTGGTTGACAGTATAAATATTGTGCTTTGGATTACTGGCAAATGTCAGTGGCTGTTTCCGTCAGAGTAAGCACTTTCTCTGTGAATTACCCATTTCTGACATTTTATTTACTTGCATGTGTGCTTTACTGGTATTTGAATTGGTTAGTTTCCTTTCCTTTGCTTAAGGGTGTTTTTACAAATGTTTTTAAAGCTATAAAAAGAAGAGGATGTTTTACCTTAGCCAAAAGATAAATTATCCACCATCTTTACTAAATACAACATATAAATGCTCAAACACATAACATCAGTAATGATTATATTGCTAAGTCATATCAAACCTGCATTTACTAATAAAGTTGCTCTTTGGGGCAGAACGGATGCACTAAAAATATTAGGCCTACTGAACTAACCCATGATCATTTCATGTTTTTGTGAGCCACTGAGCCATAACAACATGATGATTCTCTGTGAGTCTTCCACCATTCACATTGCACATCGAAGTTCATCACTGTAAAAAAATATATATATATATTGCAGCCTAAAGGAAAGGATCGTAAACCACCATGAAACCATGATACAACAAGTCAACAGTAACCTCGAACATAAAGAAAGGATTCAGTCTTAGATTGTTTACCACTAGCATTAAAATATAATTAAATACATCCACCAATCCTGAAACTTAAACCTTTCACTTGCTGGGCACATTAATGACGGAGCTTTGATACCTTCTTTGCGCATTCCAACACGGAAACATTTCTTCAGACGACAGTATTGGCACTGGTTGCGGTGATGCTGATCGATTTGGCATTCTCGATTTGATCTAAGGAGACAACATCAAAGATACATTTTTAGAGCAAACAAAGAATTAAAATCCACAGCTCTTTCCTGATATGAAGCAAGCTTTGAACATTGTGCAAGTTTCCAATAAGGAAGTGATGTTTGCACTGATATCTTCCCCCCCCCCTTACCTTGCTGACCCCAGTGATGAGTGAACTGTGTGAGCCAAGGCTATTGAGGCTGTGACCTTTGTAAATCATCAGCCCTACACGCCCTTGTGCTGCTGTTTACAGCAGGACGAGGTCTGCCAGTGTTTCACATGGAGTATTTTTCAGCCTCTGGACATGACAAACTGAACCAAGAGACACCCTACACTCAGAGCTGCTGCATTATTAGGTGGAAGCAATAACTGTGTTCAGAGGCTGAGAGGAGTCTTAATAAGGGTAAAGGATTGAGTTGCAACAATGCGTTCCTGCATGTGCTGAAGAATAATGGTTATGTTGACCTTCTGAGGCAATCCATCCTCACATGACTGACCTTCAGGGCTGTCATTTCTTTTTTTCCTTTTTTTCCTTCCTGGAGCTGTTTGGTAGACGTATCCAAGGTTAGAACATATTATTCTGAAGAGAGACACAGACTAAAATGCTTTGTCCTTTATAAATGTGAATAACTATATACTGAAAATATATCTCTATAAATGACTCACTTTGAGCACTGTGAACATTTCATACAAGGTTTAGAACACACTTGAATGTACTTAAACCAACTTGAACTTTAAAGATAAATCTTACAAATTAAAAGCGTGTTTTACTATCATGTATCCATTCCCTCCGGTTATTGGTACCCACAGGAGGAGTAATCATTGTTGACAGCATTTATAAACACTTTTATCACCTAAAAAAAACAACATTATGGTAATTTTAATCATGGACAACATCCAAAGAAGAAATCAAAGTTTTTAAGAGAAGCCCAACATAAAAAGCTGATCAAGTAAAAAAAGGCATTTATTAATTCAACAGCTGATCATCTGTCTTCAGTCTTCAATCCCAGCAGCCCTCACCTGCAGGAGTAGTTGAGGTTTCTCCTGATGCTCCTCTTGAAGAAGCTCTTGCAGCCCTCACAGGTGAACACACCGTAGTGCTTCCCGCTGGACTTGTCCCCGCACACCACACAGTCCACCACGCAGGACTTGTCCTCGTCCGCGACGTCCACATCGCTGCTCCCAGCCTGAGGCGAGCCGTCATCTTCCTCCCTCCTCAGGTAAGCCTTCTCCCCCAGTCCATTAGTGTCCCCGTTGGGGTTGCCCCATCCCCCGCTCACCATGGCCATATTCTCTGAGCCACGCAGCCCTGAGAGTGGATCATACACAGACCCGCCCGGTCCCCCAGCTTCAAACTACACTCAAAGTCTAAAAAAATGGCTCCACACAAGAGAACAGCAGCTCCAGTTTGTGTTAAAGGCAAGTTCTGTCCAAGAAGAACTCAAAAGAAGGACAAAAAGTTGTCTCGTGCTCTCTCGTGTTGACCTTTTCTCCCCTTTGCCGTGCGGTTGTAATGACCTGGAGGTCCTTGGCAGTGTTGTTCTCTCTCTCTCTCTTCTATAATCCCTCTGCTCTCTCTGTTCTTGTCTTTCACCCTCGTGTTCTGTGTCCTGACCTCCGATCAATGGCCACGGAGTTCTGAGAAAAACTTCAGACACACATTGAGCGGTTCAGAGTTCAAGCAGAAGAAAAGGGTGCAGCCTTGCTCTTTTCACAGGAAACAATAAATTACACTTTGACTCTCTTTCTCCCTCCCTCTCACTTTCTCTCCCCCCCCCCTTGTGGAAGAAGTAAAAGGTACAAAACACCTCACTTATCCGTAAGCATGGGCACCAAACCGAGTCCAATCCAAAGGAAAAAGAAGCTGTGCCCCTCTGTCAGCGACAGGGTAGGACTTTCTCCAAAAAGGACAAGCGAGTGGGAGGAAAAATGACAACACAGCTCTCCTTCAAGCAGGGTTAAACTGCCCTGCCCTCTCCTCCAACTTATAAACTAGTCCAACCAGTTCCTGCCGTGCAGAGGTGTTATCTGCTGATCTGAGGCAGTTCTAGTCCAGACTCACTCTTGACTTGTCGTGGCTGTTATAGACGCTGAGGGGATAGTGATGAAGAGGAAAAATAAGGTTTTGCTCTGGAAATGCCAAAATTACAAAAGAAAAATTAAAAAGCTTGGACAGCAGGATTTGTTTGTGAAATTACCACATTCAACTTCAGCTTTCTTTATACGATGATTTTTTTTTTTCTAACCAGGAAGCATATCTTTCCTTTATAAATGGCTGAAAACTATCCGGATTCCGCGCTTGGTATTGAAATAAGCAGCAAGAAAGACTGCATTATCTCTCAAACTCTTGAAATAAGTCCTCCTCTTCTGCTTCTTTGGTGAAGAAGGAAAGTTTTCTTTTGGCTCCTCCAACTCGTTAAGAGTCTGTTCTGTCAAGAGGCTCAAATGTCACAGAGAAAAACAACAACCTTAAACAAAACCAGACTCGAGAAAATGTCCTTGTTTGCAGTTTGGCCTCCTCTCTCAAAGTGTCGTCCCTCTCTTCTTCTCTTGTTTTGTCAGTGCTTGTCCATCCAGCAGTAACAACCAGAGGCCAGAACCTCTTTTGCATTCCCTGTCAGCAAGTCAGGGTGTACTGTTGCACTCTTTACAACTCTGCCCATCCGCTTTTCTTTCTTTCTGTTGGCACCGGCAGGAATAAATTAGGCAAACAAGAGCAGGAAAAACACAGTCACAGAGCTTTTTTAGTGAAAGCCAGGCGCTGCAGTGGAAAGCAGCTCAGTGATATATCCTCCACTACTCCTCTCTCATGCTCCTCTCAATCCTCTCTCTGTGTCTCTGCCTTGCTCCCTCCTTTAGGGAGAGTGAGCGTGTGTCTGTGTGCTGAGGGATTTGACACTGCTATTCAAGCCCTGCTGTTGCCATGGCGCTGGATGCCTTATAAGGCCAGTGGAGTCAAAGAGCACGGAGTGGGCTGCAGACACACACACACACACACACACACACACACACACAGATACATACACACAGAAAGAATGCCTGGCTGCCTGACTGGCCGCCTGTTTCCCCCCTGACCCCGGGCCAGCCTGGGAGCAAAGGGGGAGTTAACCCCGACACTGCTGTAAAACAAAGAGAAGGGTCTTGGGTCGACACACAGCCAGCACATGGCACTCACACTCATGTTCTCCACTCCAGTCTAATCCCAAAGAATTCCTCCGACTATGTTGACCCGACAATAACAGGGGAGGCTTGTTGTTGTTGAGCAACTTGTCAAAAGGTTATATGATACTCCACTGGTTCCTTTTCACACCTGCTGCATACACTCACAGGTCTGTGTGAGGGATGCCAAAGATCCTGGATGGTGCTGGTTGGTGCCCCTTTTTAAACTGGTCTTTAGTGCCTCACTGGGAGGGTTCGGAAAAGAAAAGTCAGAATCGGTTTTAAATAGTTGAGAGACATCTTAAAACCAATCTAGTGTCCCGACTGTGGGATTCTGCACTTCATGATTTAGCTTCTGAAGCCCCAATACAGAGGTACAGTGGTGTGACCGGCAGCAGTGAGGTTAAAAGTAAAAGGTTGTAGGTTAGTATGTTTGGATGGGTGGACATTCAGTGCACCCGACTTTCATGCAGGGGCCCAGAGGTCACTCTCCAGAACTCTCTGGCAATCAATCTGTTAACCCTCCCTTCAAATTTTAGCAGCTTGCTTAGCAGAAAGGCTAAGCAAGCTGCTTTCTTTACTGTGCGCTGATGCATTGCTGTAAAATCCATGGATTTCCCCTTTAAGTTAGACTGTCAATGATCCATGGTACAACTAAAAGCACTGATGTATGTTTAAGTTACACAAACCTATCTGGATGTATTTGCGGTGCAGCTCATGCATCGTCTTGACAGTTTTCAAAGCTCCTGTGGAATTTCTGGCCTGCTTTGTCTGTCGTACCAGCAGCATTGTCATCTGAAGGTCTCCACGAAAAAAGGGAGGATAAATAAACAAACTGAGCCTGCTGCCAAGGTTTCCAATAGCAGCCTCCAAATGCAGGGGGAAAAAAGCTCACAGTAGAGGTATTCACTGCTGCATGCCTTCTTAAAAGAACCTTTGTTTACCAAAAAAAGTGTCATCACATGGTTTTCAAGGAATTCCCTCAGAATGACAAAACATTTCTTCCCTGTGATGTTCAAAAGAACATTTTGGTCCCTCAGGAGAAAATGTCAAAGAGGTATTTTGTGAGTAAAAGGGCCGGCAGGAAGAGGAAGGCTTTCTCTTACGCCATTTTTGTCAGTGTGGTTAAGTCAGCCTTTTAAAATGGGAGCATAAGGTAACTTTAACCCACATCCGTCACAGCGAGAGTCATTGTGCATGGATAGGCCTTTTGTTTGGTTAAGAGGTTATCAGGGCCCAAGCTAAGCCGCTATACTTTGAATTAGTGCTTTCCTCTGAGCCTTTGTAGCCAGCAGTGGCAGTGGACCATGTGGGAGAGTATTTGATACTTAACAATACTGGAAATGGCTTGTAAAGCATTAGTTGTAGGAAGTGTCAACTTAAAAACCATCTGTTTACCTGTCATCTGGTATATTTTAAAAAGCCTTCTGTCAGGTTTAGTGGATGAAAATCATCCTGGGAAAAGAATAATAGATATTTGAGGATTATGAAATGTTTTTACATACTTAATCAGAGAAACATTGTCAAATTCATCATGCTGTAAATTTATGTTCCTCTGACATTTAAGTAGTGGGCGCTGCTGATGCAAAATCATTTTTGTGGACACAGACCCTTAGGGTTACTAATATTTACTGATTTATTTCAAACAAATGTGAACATAAAATATATTAATCCAAATAAACACATGAATATCTTCAGTTGAACATGTCTCAATTTGTGTTTTAGGTTTGTTTAGGTATTGATTTTAATGTAATCTTTGTTATCCTTTGTCTTTATAGACGGTCTCTCTCTTTGAGATTAATCATTAAATGAACACAACTTTGCCAACTTGAGCACAATAACATAAAAACTGTACATTTTTAAAGGAGCAGACGACAGTATTTCCTAGGTAAATGTTAGGTAGAAGAAGCAGATTGGACCATTGACCTCTGACTTTACTTGTTTGGTTGTTTAGATTATCAGCAGCTTTGGTATGTGAGGCTAAAACCAGACAGTTGGTGTAAGTTACCACGGTTTGTTGGTGTGTGTGAAAGAATTGCCCTCTTCCAGCTGTTCTATTTATGTTGTTTTGGTTTCTGAAATGTCCTGTACTGTAAGTGTTTACTTTCACCACTTATAACTTACACATCTGGGAGTTAGTGTTGTGAATAGTGTGTGTGTGTGTGTGTGTGTGTGTGTGTGTGTGTGTGTGTGTGTGTGCGTGTGTGTGTGCGCGTGCGTGTGTGTGTGTGCATGTCTTGCTCTTTGAACTGCAGGTCAGGAATGCTGCTGCTCTCAGCGTGAAGTCGACTGTGTTGGAGTCTGTGCATTCTCAACACAGTCAGGAGTCCAAACCATCAGAGTGAAACAGACAAACCATCAGTTCACTCACCTGAACACAAGCATGCACGCGCACACACACACACACACACACACACACACTCACACTCACGCACACACACACACACACACACACACACAGCCACCAGAGGAAACGACTGTGCTCAGATATTCCTCTTAAATACCTCTCTCTTATTTAAAGGTGCACTATGGAGATTTGGTGGTGAAATTTGAAAGTTGGAGAAGTGAAACAATTCTATGCCATATTTTCTGATCTGAATACACAAACTTTACTTTAAAAAAAAAAAAAGGTAATAAGCTACCAGGAGAGTTAAGGTTTCACTCTTGCGGCCCCCCCACCGTTACTTCTCGCCTAGCATTTTATCTTCAAACTGTGTTGCAGGGACCAATTTTTTTCCTCTGAGGACAGATTGTGTATAGAGTTATGAACATATAGCACATATATGAAATATGTCATATTATTGAATTTAAATAATATAGTTTATGTCGGCAGAGTGATGCTTACACTTAGATCTTGCCTGCATACTTACATGTAACTATACTAGACGTCAAACTCCAATCAGTTTAGCTAAATGCATGGTACAAATGTTCCATTCTACAGCGATGCATAGTTTAGCTTATAGGTGGCCGTTTCCATAAAATGGCTAAGCAGAACACCATCTCATGTGGTTAATACATTTACTATTGACAAGTACTGCATACAATCCGACTATCCCTTTAATCAGGAGTTGTATATATCCTCAAAAGTGACTTAAAAAAAGCTGCCTATGGCTAATATACAGTCCTACATGTGTTCATGGTCATTAATTTAAATATCTGCGCTTTTGCAGGGGGACCTGTATGATTCAGGATAACCTCAGTGAGGTTGTTAGTTTTTCACTAAAGTATTGTTTATCCTCTCTTTTTTCCAGAACATGTTTAGGTGTTATTTGTAGTTTTAAGCATGTGATGGTTTATGATACATAGTGGCTTAAATGTGTAAAAGATAAAGTTCATATTTAAGCTTTAGAAATCTGAAGGCTTGTGTAGACAAGATGGGATCCCACACATACCCTCAGATAGGCATGGACAAAAAAACTCTCTTTCAGGTTTAACCTGTTGCAGCTCTGTGGATCTTTAGTGTCAACTGAAATCTGACTTTCTTTAACAAAGTTCACATTTCTCATCTGAAAAGAAGAGATATTGAAACTACACAGGTTATAGTTCCCCTGCTGAAAATTAAGTGCTGACTTTTTGTATGAAAATGTTTTTGTAAAATATCAGAAAAATGAAAACCAATATAACTGATCCTCAACGCCCTCTTTCTTTACAGCACGGAAGTGTGACCCGAGTTTGAAACAGTCACAATAATTCTCCACAAATATAATCTTTAAAGTCTGCAAACTGCATTAGTTAAAGTGTAGAGGAATGTGAACACTGGGGTTAAACTTTAACTCAGAGGAGTAACTCAGGGTGAACATGAGAGAGCACATGACTCCTTGCTCCTTCCTCATTAGCCTCACTGCCCTTTGGCCTAGAGGCCAGAGGAAAAAATCATCTTTTTCCTCTCTCCCCCCCCCCCCCTCTCTCCTCCTTTACATAACTCTCGCTCCATCCTCGGGCCTTTGACCTCAAACGAATGGCGGAGCAATTTTAAAACACACAGGGCAGTGGAACCTGCCAAAGAAAAACATCTGCTGGGGTGAATCAAGAGAAACAAATGGTGTCCAATCAATGTTTGGCATCCTCCCCTCCCAGTACCTACTGGGGATGGTGGGAAACTTCCCATTTGGCCTGCGTTGTTGTTATTTAAACCAGCTAACATGAACAAGATAATAGCCTTTTGTTTGTCCATGAGTCAGTAGAACTGTTTACTGTATCGGCAGTGGAAATTTTGCCAATGTGTCAGATGTGAAGATAAGATGCGTTATTGAATGAGGCGGATGTTAAGCTGTTTCAAATTGAGTAGGAAAACAAGCCTTGGCTTTGCTTTAGCTCAACCACTTGAACTCTGATGCTAACATTGCAGGTGTTATATTTTTACGTTGCACCAGAGAATAGATTCCAGAAGAGGAATGGTGTCTGCTGCAAATGTAGTTTTAATAAGTTTATCAGGGTGGCCATTCCAACGGATGAAGAATCTGCTTTGTATACATTGAAAAGAAACGATTAGCCAAAGTGTTTTCTTAAGATCTGAAGTGCCCATTAAGAGGCTGTCAATAGAGATGAACTCTTTGCCGCCAGCCATTAACCAAGCCAGCTTTTTCAGACAAGGCATTAACCTAACGCTCTTTGCAGTCACAACATATTTGATTGTGTTCCCAATCACCAGCTTCAATCTCCTTTAAATCTGAGTCCAATCTGTTGCTCCCT